ATGTCATTATTATTAAAATATTGTTATTTTTAAAAACGTTAGAATTATTATTATTGTCATCCTCATTCGTGACAGTATCATCACTAAGTCACTATTTGCTACTTATATCCATTTAATATCGTCAATTTTATTTTCAGTTCTTCATTGGTTACCACAAGTTCAAATCCATTAAAATACATCATAATGCTTTATTTCATGATTGTCCATTACTGAGAATACTTTGAGAACATTAGCAATATTATGCCCGTCAAAACGATATCTAAAATAATACATTTTTTACTGCAAAAGAATGATTTTTTCGAATAATAACTTCTAATCTAATTATTATGAAGTAAGCTCCCATCAATGGTTAACAATATCAATACTTTTTGATGTCGTTCAAATGTTGCGATTATTATTATACCATCATTATGTGAAATACTTTTCTTATGTCCTCAAAAGTTATAATATCTCATAGATATAATTTAGCTTATTAGAATATTTATACTGTCGTTGACTGGTAGGAACAACACTGATTACATTCATTTCTAAAATAGCAACATGCTAGTTATTGAAATTATTCAACAGAATTGTTGATACATTTATATATATCCTTATTTAAAAACTGATTATTATACAATAATAATTGATCTTACCAATTTCTAACTTCACAGTTTAATCGAATTTGCGGTACATTTTAAAGGTGACAATATGAAAGATCTGTCTTAAATTAATCATCTGCAATCTAGTACATAAATTCAGTTGATTTGAGTTAACTAGGTTTAGCAAATCCAAATTCAGCGATGTTAAAGTTCATCATCTAACGGCTTTATCTACATTATGCTGGAAAAAGTAAAGTGACCATTTAATAACAAAGCAAATCAGAAAAGGAAACAAATTGAATTATTGGACAGATTTATATAGCATTCACGAAATTTTTTCAGACATAATTTCTTGCTAATTACTAAATAATCTTGTAAACTGGTAGAATTTTGATGGAAAAGTATAATGGTACGGTATATGATGATCTCAGTTCAATGAATTGATTTTGACCTTGCGCGGGAAATATTCACGAGAACACATTTGCATGTCGTGCGTAGATTACTGCTCATTAATCATTTTCAATATTTAATTGTCATCAGATGTATGAAAAACATGTACGGTATCATAAGTCAGAGTATCTTCTCATTTTCAGAATCATTTTTTATGTACAAAATCAGAAATTTTTGTTCTACCACTTTGATATTCATTAATTTCACCTTTGACTTCGTTACTCTTTTGAAACTTTGAGATTTCAATTCAGTTCAGTTACATTAAAAATATTACTCAAATTTGATATTATTGTTTTATAAATTTATATTAGATAGTATTTTAAAATGATAAGAGTGACTGTCGTATTAATAATAAAAAAAAGATAGTTGTTGGCAGAATGAAATAAATGAACAAATCCAAAATTAAAGGTGGAGAAAAAGTTAGTTCCTGTCAAAATATGTGTGCACTGATTAGTTATGCATACTTCTAGAGATCGCTTCTGACCTATTTGCCCTAAAATTGCATTCCTTTACATAAATTTGGGAAAATACAGAAGAATGACTTTTCTGGAATCAAATACGAAAACTTTAAATTTATTGGAAAGTAAGAATTTGTTTATAAAGAAAGCATGAATGTTTTGAAATTTTTGAAATATAAATTTAAGAATATTAAGCATACACAATTTTACAAAAAAAAGCTAAAAACTAGTCTTAAGTTTGTTTAAATTGTCGATTGTTTAATTCATCTTTAGTCATCCTCAATGAATAGGAATTTCAAGACTCTGACTCTTGTAAACTAATTATTCATTAATTTAACCTTTGACTTCTTTACTCATTATAAACTTTAAAACGCTAATAATCTTAATTTTACTCTTAGCTATGTTAATAAATAAAGTTGATGGCTACTATGAAGTGCTTATTAGCTTGACCTCCAGCAATTATTGGCCATAAAGCATTCATCATCTGTGCATAATAAAAGTAAGTCAAGCTAATACTGCCTTGAGAGCGTAAAGCTTGAATCAGATTATGGCCCCCTTATGGTTGCTTCTAGCATACTTTAGTTCTGGGAAATGGAGCAAATCCATTTCAGATACCATTTGCAATATTTCTCAAGTGACAGTTAGACTATTTCTGTGCAAATTTGAAAATTCGAATGACTGCGAGTTATGCTTTCTTCCCACACATTCCTTTTTTGGCTGCCAGAAGAATTAGTTCTTATTTGAAAAATAAAATTTTGCATAAAGTTATTAATCTGCCAGGTATCATATTTGGCACATTTCAAAGTTCAGTGAATTCAAAAATGAAACCATTATAATTGCAATAAGGTTTATATCTGTTTCACAAATTGCGCCTTTTGTTGAGATATCTATTCATTTTCGGCCTTATCCTGATCCATATACATGTAAATTAAATATTGGCTATGACTTAACGCTGTTAATTTTGGATGCTTTAATAACTTTGAATATAAAGTTTAGTAAATAAATTGCTTGAAACTTGTAGTAAAAGTCAAGTAAGTGTTTGTTTTTTGAGCAAACAATTTGGTTGCCTAAAATCTCTTCATATGCTATTCAAGTACTAATTTGGTGTTAATTACTGTATATAGCAATAATTTTTTTGGAGGGCAGAAATTAGGAAGCAGTAATTCTGAAGAAGCATTGTTGTGCAGGAGTAAAGATCAAGTTTGATAATGTAATCTTAATTTTGCATTCAGTTTCATAGCACAGATAATAATTTACCAGTGCTTCTTCGTAATGAAAGCTTATAAATTAATTATTTACTAATTTTGTTTGTATACAAATAAGATGAATACATCAATGGAAATTGAAGAAATAAATGAATTATAACAGATAAACAAGCAAATAAGTCCACAAATAGATTAATAAATCATAAATGTAATGAATTTATATTTATATACGTTGGTATTAGTGTGCAAACGTATGTATTGTATGCTTTTCGAGTAGGTTTGATATTTGATTATTGTTCACATTTAGTGAGCAAACATTAATTGAATGAAGTATCTCTCATACTTACTAAGACTATTTTAACTTACCTGATATTAGCTTAAAGGAGTGAAGAAGTCATTTTTACATATCGTCATCACTGCTCGACATTATTCTCTATCTTAGCTCAATTAAACAAATACTAGTTGTGAGTATAATCATTTTTTATAGCTCTGTCTTTGAGGACTGATTGAATTTTGAGTTTAAATTTTCAAAATTTGATTTTAGATATCAAAATTGAACAATTTCGAATGAACTTTAGCACTTGTTTTACTGATTTAGCAGTCCTGATCACATTAGTGTGCTGAAAATATTTGTCAATTCAAATACTTTTTTTGATCATTTTTTGTTCGTTGATGCAAATTCAATGCATGCTATCATTTATTAGTACTGATATCAAGCAACTCTGTGCACAAACACAGTTTATCACTTTGTGTTTTGATGGAAAATGTTTTGTTTAATGAAATATAGTAATTGTGAAAGCTCACTTTTTGTATGAGTTAATACATTCATTTTTTGTTGCAAGTTTTTCTGGATTTGCAGATATAAAAAAGTTTGAAAGAAGCAAGTATTTCAAGCTTTTAAACTGACTGATTTTTGTGCATCAATTGGTTTTTTATCTATTATTATATCATTTTTCATTAACTGATCCGAAAGCAAATCTCAGAACTGAAAAGAAAACTCAAACAAATGATGCTTTGAAAATAAATTATTAATAGTTAAAATCAAATTTATTTATCAACATTTCATTGCTTTCACCGTATTATTCTAAGCTGATTTTGCTTTTTATCAAATAACATAGTTTACTGAAACTCAAATTTTGATACTTAAACCATATTTACTTTACTTGTCAAATAGTTTGCTGGCCATCAATTCAGTACTAAGATTGAAGTTTTTAACATTGTTATCAATCAAGTTGATAAGCATATTGCATTAAGATATATTAAGATATATTGTATCATAGTTCATTTTCAAGTTTTTGATGATTTATCTTCAGATTTTGGTTCTTAACTTGTAAAAATATACTTTCAGCTTTTTCGCTCTGTTATTTTTTTATCATGTTTACATCATTATCACTGTTTTCATTTCTGTGATACTTATCTTAATATTTTTTGAGTGTGTAAAAAGAAGTTTGTTAAAATATTTTAACACAAAGCTTCAATAATTAATTTTGTTATTAGTACTATTTTACTTGAACAAAACTGACTGATTGTTGTATTTTTTTCATTTCCATCAGAATAATTATCATTTTATAGTAAGTAATACGGCATGTTGTTATTCTCTTCGTGCTTAAAGCTGAATATATCTGCGACTGAGGGAAATCCTCATGCCTACTTCTTTTATTAGTACTGTTAGTAAATTTTATTGATATGGTTGCTGCTAGAGTAATTTATGGTATCAGTAATATAAATGGTACAGATAATTGCTAATCATTTTTTCTTTTTAATCATTGAAGGAAGGCAATAGCTTGAGCTGCTAAGTTAATAGCAAAAACAAAATGAATACTTACTCCTCCCTCATTACTTTCACTATGTGACCAATCAGTGTGAGGCAAAGGCGGAGTGCTAAAATCCTTCCCTCCTATTTTCTTGATCACTCATCCATCTATCCTTGAGCGTCTTCCCTTCATATCCACTATTATTATTAATATTAATATCAATATTATTATTATTCTCATTATCATTATTGTAATCTTTTATTACAAGTAATCATGTCTGTTAGTACTTTCGGTTTTTTAGATCATTTTTTGAAATGAAAGAGGTCTAGCAAATACTAATATTTGTGTTACTTAAATTATTATTGAAATAAATTATTTCGTGTTGAAATGGCATACTGTAAAATTTTCAATGCAATTTAAAAATTTAGACAAGTTGTTTTTTAACTAATTTCATGCTTTTTTAAATCACGGTCACTTTACAGCAATCAGTAATTTAAAAAAACAATTTTTAGTGACGAAGATTTACAGGTTCGTAAACTTGAATGCTTCAACATGTCAATAGCAATGGAGACAACACCGGCATCGGTGTCATCAACTTCAGGGACAGAGATGAATTCTGAGAAACCTTTGGAACAAACTTCACAAAATTTACAAATGTCGTTGTCTTGCAGTGCAACTTCAACGCCACCTTTACATCAAGCAGCCGAACAGTCCAGTGGTCTGCAAATTGACCTCAGTACTAACCTCTCGAATATATTAAATCCATCAACAAATGATGTAATTAATTCTTCTGGCTTAAAGACTGTAATAATTTATTGCATTTCATGTTAACTCTTATCATGATAGCGATTACTAATCACTTTTTCATGGCTGTCTATCTTTTATCAACTTTTCAGAAATATCACTTCAAAAGCTTTACTTAATTTTCCATACTTTGAATGCAAAAAAAAGTCCATAAAATACGGCACCATTTTAGCATCTGACATGAAATTCTCGTTCTTTTGATTTCAAACTTTTATACTTGGACAAGTTTTACTGGATATTCACCCAGAGCATGGATTTTCTATCTAATTACTGTTGCAGTTTTTTAGTATCCCTTTGGAAGTTTCGTTTTGGACTGCGAAAATTTAATATTTTAGAAAGGGAGTGAAGCAATAAGAAAATTTAATTACAGAAATCAAACAGTTTTTAGATAAAAAATGAAAATTCGCCTGTGATTGGTGACGATGCAAATTCAGTGCTCGAACACGAGCTTGAAATTCAGCAAAAAGCTTTTCAAAGGTTTACTTCCTCATTGAACGGTATGATTTATTTCTTTAATTCAAAAACAAATTTTGATAATTTAGTTTTATCAAATTTTATCAGCAAATTTTCTTACATTAATAATTTTATTGTAATGTTGTACCTTAGTAAGTTTTATAATTTCATGTACTTATTTATCAATTATACTTCGAAGGATGTTTGCCGATTGAATTTTATTTTTCATGATAATCATTAAAGATCTCGGATTTCGATCAACCTTTCCAATAAATGTATTTCCACCATTTTTGGCTGCTCTTCAACAAAATCCTTTAACTTTGCATAATCAATTTGTTGCGGCTAGTAGTAATCCTCGAAGTTCGGGTGATTCCCCACTACCTGATGATGATGATGAAAATAATGCATTAGCTATTACCGAACCTGAGGATTTAACTGTTAAGTAAGAGTTTTTATTGCTTTTATTGAGATCACTAGTATATAAGATTGCTATAAAATCAGTGAATTTCTTTAAGTTTTCGCAGAAGCAAAAAAGAATGCGGAACTGGAGGAAGTAATACTGATGACAACGCGGATTCAGATACCAGTGGTCAGCAGAATTGGTCCTATGAAGAGCAATTTAAACAGGTCAGTTGCACTTAGAGTTTTGTAATAGCTATGAAAACTGCGTCCAGCAATTATTTGGTATTAGCTTTAAAGAAAAATTAAATTAACTAAAATTTTTATAGAAAAATTCTTCTGAGAAATTCAGTTTCGTTTTTTGAAAACTTTGATTATGTTTTCGTATCACTAAAATACGTTCCTGTTACGTTTTATCCACGCCTGTCTTCAATTTGCTCGTACCTGTCAGATTAAACAGTTGTGGTGCATTTTATTTAGCGCTACTTTCGTGCTATCAGAGCAAGAAAGTTTAAAAAAAGTATTTATATTTTAAATGTAATATAATATGCTTTTAGGCAACACACCTGCATATATCATCTCTAAACATACGTACACGTCTTTAATCATAAATACGTGTACAAGTACGTTGACGAGAAATTAAAAGCATGCCTATTACACTAAGAAATGAATTATTATTACTATTATTTTTATGTGAATATTTGCATCCAAACACTGCACCATTTTTTCATTTTTTAGCTTGCCTCATTAATCTTTGTTTACTACGATCTTTTTTTGCTTACAAACAAGAAAAACATTATTTAAAAACTTAAATTTTTAAGCATAGTTTGCATTAATCAAATAAGTATAATACCAGTAAAAAAATAGTTGAATGTGAAGAAGTCAGTTTCTAATAAATAATTAATAAAAAACTGATCTTTTTGGCATTAGCTTTGTTTCAAGTAAGATAGGAAGCAAACCTCACAAATTAAAGTTTTTCTTGCGATCGCATTTCAATTTGTTATTATTACTAATTCTATCAAAACTTTAATTTTTTTTAGCGCAAAATTGAGCAAATTTTAAAATGAATATTGTTTTTGCTCACCAATTTTGCCTTTGATAAGTAAACTAAAACTGAAATTTTTATTTTGTAATTTGATAAGAATAAGAAGAAATTCATTGCTAGTAGTATTAATATTGATGAAAAATGCAAAAAAAAAGTGTTTGTTTGAAAAAATGTAAAAAAAAATTATCTTTGAAAAAATCATTGTAATATGGAACAGAGGAATTGAATCGCAAACGATTGGTTAGAAATGTTTGAGATTAATTTGAATGTTCTGAGCTGAGAGTAGAAGTGAAATCTGAGGAAAGAATCCATGTAGCTCATTTATCATAAACTTTAATTTTTCTTCTTCATCACTTCTTATCTATCGGCTGAATTTAATTGAACACAAAAGTGTGCAAAATAGAATTTAATGAAATTTTCAAAATCTGACAACGGTGAAAGAGAAGAAAAAACGTAATGAATCGAATGCTGATAGCAACTGTTTGCATTTTCAATTTTGCTAACTAATTTTGCTGTTACAATCCGTTTTCTTGGCCAATTTCTATCGTTTTTTTTTGCATAAACAACAAATTGACGTTTATTTATAGTTGATGGAAACGAAGATTTGTTAGTAAAAAACCAAGATTAAAAAAATATATTAAATTTCAGAGTTTCTTCTTCTTAAAAATTATCTTATTTACTGAAATTGTTACACTTTGTATATTTCTCAATCAATTTCAAAAATCAACAGATTCATAAGCAAATTATGAAATTTGAGACTTTGTAATTTATGATTTTTTAAGTATCCTAACCGCAGTATTAATCTTATTGCTACCATTGCTATATATTTAATCACCTTAGATCTTATACTTCAATTTTGCATAATGTTCTGAACAGAAGCTTTGTGTTAAGATAAATCAAATTAAGGCATATTTTCACTGAAAATATTCGTCACTGTTATTTTAATTTCATATCTACTTGACACCAACTACTGTATATTTATTTTCAATTTTTAAACAAGTTAAAATTCTAAAATCTTTAACATAAGTTTGGAAAACAATAAAAAATATTGATAAATCAACTAAATGAGTACCGTATCATAAGAAAACATAGAGAAATAAAAAAGTAGGCGTGGCCATGCTTGCGTCATTTTTAAACTAATTTTATGCATGTATTTTGATTGGCTGAATGATTAAATTGTGATAGCTACTCAATTTACATAATCAAATTAATCTGTAATCATATTTACCAAACATAGTTGTTCATATATCTCAAAAGATTTATTGTTTAAGAGTGGTAGTGGACACTAAATATTTCTAATGAAATTAAGACTAAAAGCCAACTTTTTTGATTAACTCAGAAAGACTAAGTAAGCTTATTGCTTGGTCGCTGATATTCTTTTTGCCTCCTTCATTGTTCGGAAGAGTGAGCTTTTTGGCAATATTTTGAATACAGCGACCTATCAAAAAATACTTTTGTCAAGAAGTTTTGAGAGAGCGTTGCAAGCCAAGTGATCTCGTAAATTCACTTTTCATAATCTTGAAAAGTGAATTTACGACGTACATTAATTTTTCTTGTTTCAACTCTTTTTGAAACGATTGTTTTATTGTTCGTTTTATAGTTTCAAAAATATGCTTAGCAGAGCTCTGCATTGCAGGGTAATACAAGCAATGTTATTCTAATTCTTTTTGCCAGTGGAAATAGTTGATTAGTGATTTCGAAAGTTTTTAAGTGAGATTAATAATTGAATTAACTTTAGTATTTATTTCAGTACCGCATATTCCTCGCCTCAAAGCCAGATGTTCATTGCTGATAGTTCAAATTAATTCAGATTAGCTGATCGTAAATCATAATCTTCATCTGTTGATGCTCATTATAAAATTTTTAATTGCAGATTATAGCAATTTCAAATTTATGTCGAAAATATGGAATTTAATATTATAAGTGGAATCTGGATCTAAAATTAGTAATTTTCGTTTTTTATTTTTTTTGAGTGTAAAAAATGCTTATCGTTATCATATTTTGAAAGAAAGCAATAGATTATCGGCTTTATTTTCTTGACACTGCAAAGGAAATTAAGAATTCTAAAATGTTATAGAAGTATTCAATATACCGTAATTTTTAATATAATAAAACAGCTTCTGTCCTAGCTCAAGTATTGCACAAGTACTGCTAGTGAGATACTAGAAAGAATAAAAGTTAAAATTAGAATCATATATTAGAGATATATACATTCGAAGGAAAATATAATAATTTCAGAAAAATACCTCAGTAAGGCAAAGTGAAGAGGATAAAAGATTTAAATTACAGCGCAACTTTTAATGTTGTGCCACAATAAGAAATAATTCTCAAGTATTTCTCATTTGAAGAAATTTAAACGCCTTAATGTGGCTTCAGCTTTATCCCCATGTGAATTGATACAAATATAAGACAGAGATAGAAATGAGATCGAATAAATATACATAATAAATATATGCTATTAATGGCAAGTTTTAATAATAGCTGCCATTTTGAAGTATTTTAAAAGTAGCATATTATGGAGGCAGGCTGAAAATGAATAAAACTTTTAAAAATTATCATTCTGGTATCAACATCTTAGCTTTGCTTTGGAAACAGCAAATGTATTCTTGCAATACATTTTTATTAGCATTTTACTTTTTTGTTTTTAAAATTTGCATAATTGTTGTTTCAGTAAAAATCTTTTATTTAAAAAAATTTTTGAGTATATATTTTTAATCAATTCAAAAATAAACACAATTTATTTTAAATCTTTATTTTTCAAATATGTTCTCGTCGCTATTGAATAAATTAAGCAGGCAAAAAAAGCCTAAAGCGAGAAAATTAGTCAAATTGTGAAGAAATACGAGAATTTGGATGAAATTTCATTATTTTTAGTTTAAATTTAGATTGAAAAAATATCCAAAATCTGATAATTTCATTTGTTGGCGTATATTATTGTGCGCCATAATTTCTTCTGCAGAAAAATGTTAATTTTTTTATGGCTCAAAATTAAAGATATTGGCAAGTTGTTATCAAATTTCGGTCTTACTTTTCTTTACAAATAACAAATTTTTATAAAAAAAAAATTAACAATTGTCAGCGAAAATATTTTATATTTATAATAAGTAAATTTTGAACCAATATGTAAACTCCAAAGCATTTCTGATATGCACTGACAACTGAAAAGGTAACCAGAAAATAGCAAGTTGTATTTAATATTAATTTTAGAAATAAAGAAGCAATGGGAAAATTGTCCTTGGAAAATTTAATTTATTTGAGAATTCATAAAATCAGCATGACAAGACTTTAGACCTTTTTGGTTAACATTTTGTAATTTTGATTAAAAGTATTAACTTCTGCTTTTCCATTTTTTGATTTTCTAGCAGTCAAATTGTACAATTATGTTATTTTGTCACAACTCAGCGAAAAAAAAATATTTATGAAGCATTTACTGAATAAATATATGCTTACAAAATTAGAAATTTTTTTCACAATAATATCCGTTTCTTAGCTTTTACAGTCAAATCTCGATTAGAGAATTGAACCTAAAAGTTGTAGTATTATCTTCCAATAGAAGTTTATTGTATTCATCAGAACTGTAAAATTGTCCCTGTTTAAATGTTTGAGTTTTATAATCTCGAAACAGCAAGTGAAATAGATTTTATGTCTTATTTACTTTTTAGTTTTTGAGTAGTCAGTAGTTTGTTGAATTTTTCATAAAATTATTGTGATGTTTCCCAAATAAGTTAATTTAAATGCTACAATCTAATAATGACAGATATGAAATCAAGTATTATGAATTAAGTGATCAATAGGCCATCAGTAGTTCTTGAATTTAAGCTATTAAACTTTTTCGATATTTTTTTTATTTTACTTAATTTTTCTTTGTTTTAATTTTCTAAATGTTTTCTGTTTAAAATTGTTTTCAATAAAATATTTGCAAAAGATAAATATTTTCTTCGAATTTACGATCTCTCTTATTTACCTTCACTGAGATTAAATTTATATATCAGATATCATCAGAAAGTTTTGTGCAATAAACATTTGAAGTGTTGAGACAGTCGCAAGTTTGAGTTTCATTCATCAAACTGATATCAATAAAATATTGAATTTCTTAATTTTTGAATATTTTACAAGCTATAAAGATTATTTTCAGCTATACGAGTTATCTGATGATGTCAAAAGAAAAGAATGGCTAGACGACTGGCTCGGATTTATGCATCGTATTGGCAAGCTTTTATTTTTGTTAAATAATCAGTTTTCGTACAAAAGCTAAATTTTAATTAGTTAAAATAGTATCAGAACTAAGCTTTCTTCTGCAATACATTGTGGACTTCCTTCCTTTTTTTGCCACAACACTGTCTCATTATAATTATTCCCTTCATTGAGCGATATCTTTTTGTTTTTGTCAGCAGTATTTGTGGGATGTGTGTGCATTTTGGAAGTAATTGTAATGCTCGAAAAACCATATAGATTTTCGCAAAAACTTAAAATTAAAATTTTACAATTTGGTTGCGTAGATAATTTGCTTGAATAAGTTTATCTGACTATTCATTATGAATTCAAATAATCGAGAGAAGGAGAGATGAGAGATATAGTCACTACGTTTGTTAAAACTTGAGATTTTGGCAAGTTGAGAGGGAAAGTGTGAAAGCAAATTATATGCTTAAATGAATTAAAAAGATTTTCTCGATTTACCTTTTTGTTCGTAGTAGATATTCATGATTGATGAATAAATAATCATTCAATGCAAATAATTCTAATAGAAGTTTTGCTTATGAATTCATAATTATAGAGCAAGGATTTGGTGGTCATGCTTCGATTTGCAAATTTCTAAATAGATATAACTTTTAAATATATTTCTTTCAGCATTAGAGCAATAAAATTAAGATACTCGGAAAAATTAAGTTCAAATTAAGCAAAAACAGTTGTTCAGTACTGATGCAGTAGTTCATTTTAAAGTCATATTTTTAGCACAAATACTAACTTTATAAGAATTATGCAAAAATAGTTGAGCATACGAAGTTTAAGCCAAATTCGAAAAAAAAAAGGATGAAACTAACTTTTTACGAAAAGTTTTTTACTTCCGAAATTAATATGGTAGACAGAAATTCGAAATCCATCAACAAAGTTCTGTATGTTTTTAAAAATAATTAATGAAATTATTTTTAAGTTTCTTTGACAAAATTTTAATTTATTTTTATGCCCTTCACTACAAAATTTATTATTGTTTATTGTCCATTTTCTAATTTGGACACAAAATCAAATTGGAAATAGTCCCAATTATGACAAGAAATCTTAATGTTATGTAGGAAAGTTTGGCGCACAAATTAACAATAAAGTCAGTCTTTTGGGATTTTCTACTTCTATCACGTGAACGCAACGCGAATTTCGAGATCGTTTTCTTTTCTATTTTGCTTAAATCAAAGAAGAACAAGGAAAAAAGACTGGGGTGATAGTTATGCTGGGAAAATTTTTGATTGGTTGTTTGGAATGGCTCAAAATTTACCCAGTCAAGTATGATAATGAGCTGAAACTCAATTCAAGTCACCTTGAACTGAGTTTCTCCTAATTTTTCCCTTTATCATTATCATATCATTATTATCATTATTCACTCACTTCGTGGCATTTCATACTATAAAGAAACAGTTATGTCTATTTTTATCATGTCTTCATAACATTCCTTCTAATGAAACTGACTCCAATTGCCTACTGTGACATCATTCCAAATTGCACATACACAATATTTATTATTGTTATTATTATGCCACCATTAAACTACTAAACCTATAGCGACCTGTATTATATTTTCTTTTCCTTATCTATCTGTTTATCTCTAATCGTATTAGTTAATCGTAATAAATCTCAAAATTTGGATTCTATTAATTTTTCAGTGAAAAAAGCTTCAAAAGATTAACCTTTAAAAGAAGCAACAAAGATATGAAGTTTGCTTCCATTTCATGCACAGTATGCCAAGAATCTATTTTGCTTTTGGGAATTTAACTTTGTAAAAAGTTAAGACATTCTGAACAAAAATCAGCAAAAACATTCAAATTTTATTAGTAGCAATATGATTATAAGCATTAAATAACGTAGCAAAGTTATACATAAACCAACAATTGTTTATGCTAATAATGTGAATGAAATGAAAAGACTACTGTAAAAAACATCCATTCTCAAAATATCAGTAAATTCAATGAAACTTTGTAGAAAAATTCATTTATAGTAAAAAACTATTGCAGTCACTGATGTAATGGGAAATGAATTAATGTAACTGAAATGATATTGGAAAGACAGACTGCAACGCATTCTTTTGCAGTTATTGTGCGAATTGGAGATTACTTTAGTGTTGAAGGGGATGCTGAATCCCTCGCCTGTTGTCTGAAAAATTATGAAAATTTTATAGTTCAAAGAAAGTTAAAAGGTGCTTTCGAGCTTCTGTACGGAGTTTAGTTCGTAAAAAGATGAGCGCTTTCTTGTCACTTTTATTAAGATTTAAGTTCACAAAACATTACCACAAAGATTGATTTCAAATGCCAATAATTAGTTCAAAATTTAAAAATTAAAAATTGTAATTCACGACAAAAAGCGATATCTACTTGAAATGAAATTTGAATAATGAAATAAATAACAATTCTTACTTCTTATAAGTCATCTCAAAAAAAATGACACATGAATATTTGTTTAGAGATAGAAATTAGTGAAAATGAAATTCAAATTTTGAACTGGCTTTTACATTTGTAATTTAGTTGCGCTTTAGAAATAATAGTGGTGAACTAATGATAATGGTAATAAAAATAATCACAATAATGACAACAACAATAATATTAGCAACAGAATATCAAGTAATAGTGATAGTAATAGTAATAATGTTTATTATCACAATAAAGTTATCAGTGTTTACAAATTATTGGCTTTAATTTAACATTACTTATTTAAGTTCATTTTCTAAGTAAATATGTAGGTAAAATCAATTGTCGAATTGCTTGCCAGAAGACAGTTTGCATTTGCAGTAATTACGAGAAAATAAATTTTTTTCTGATTATTTTCAAACGATTTGACAGATTGAGAGAAAAGTACATTAAAAAGTGATTAATTTCAAATTTTTGTTCGTTTTATTTATCAATAATGGGTAATTAATTGTTCTTGCAAGTGCTAGCATTTGTTCATGATAACATGGACTTCAGGTAAACCGGTAACACGGATACCAATTATGGCCAAACAAGTGCTAGATCTATATGAACTCTACCGATTAGTTGTACATCACGGAGGATTAGTCGAAATCATCAACAAGAAACTATGGCGTGAAATAACAAAAGGATTAAATTTGCCATCATCAATCACTTCTGCAGCATTCACGCTAAGAACTCAGTAAATTATTTATTTATTTGTTTACTGCTCATCAATTCATTTATGTATTGCTTATTTTCGCATGACAGTATTAATTAAGGATCATTATTAACTTTTTTATGTTGCAAATTAAAATTAAATATTGAACTTTATTTTTATTAATCAAATTTTTTAAACTTCTAAAAATTTTTGAAATGAGTGGTTACTATCTATTACTTAACTTTATATTTATTAATACAGATTGGTAATACTAATTATGCCGCAAGTTTTCAAAATCATATTAATAGGAATAGTAATTGTAATAATAATAATAGTTACTCTCTTTATTATACAATGATACTAAAAGTAATGGTAGATATAACAACAATAAAATAGTTATTTAATTAAAATTGATAGTTGCATTTATATGTTTTAAAAGTTTTTAATACAATTTGAAGAGCAAATGGATTTCAAGCTGATTGCATCATATCTATCAAACTTTTGTTTTATAAATAAATCAAATCTTTCTGTAGCAAAGGTTCACTACCTCATTTCTGGTGTGTAACAAACAAAAGAAAAGAGACAATCATTCATCAGATCGTATTTCTGCAATTCATTCTTTGCACTACAATTGTTCAGAGATAATTAATTTGAGATGGAAAAGTTGAGTTTTTATAAGTGAGCTTTTTGGTATTCTGATTGAGTGATTATTAGGTAGCAAAAATTGATCGAACGAACAGCCACGCAAATCACTGATTTTTGATGAATTTGATTGATAATTGTTATCAATTTTAATATTTGAGGATGAAGATAAATAAGTTAATATTGGATCAGTTTATGTGCAGTTTCCTATTTCAATATTAATTCTTGCGTTTTTGATCGATGGCACGAAATTTGTCAAAATTTTACACTTAATTATAAAATTTATTTAGTAACATGTCATTCTGAGAAAATTATCAAGGAAATCAGGGAAAGTAAGCTTTTGCATACTTGATCTGAGTAAAATTTTTTGAAAAGTTTGTGATAACCGCAAATCGCAAGAATATCATTGTAGATGTTATGAAGACTGATTACAAGTTACTACTGTTATTACAGTTTTCACGAGCATCAAATAAGTGCCAAATAATTTTCTTTATTTCTCATATTAATTTATTTTTCAAGTCTGATAAATTGATATAATCACTGAGGAATTATGATCTTTGTATGCAGTGTACATTTTTTTGATAATTTGTGAGCTTAGTAGAAGTAACTTATATAAATATCGATTTTAAATTAGTATAATGTAATCTGAGAGGTAAGTCTTAGTAAAAAATATGCAGAAAAGTTTGATATGGTTGTTTATTTATTTTAATGAGCCCTAAACAGAAAATGTAGAGAAAAGCATTAAATGCCAGATGTTGTTCGAATTATTTAATACTCACTAATTTGGATAAGTTTTTTTTGTTCATTTTTTCTACTCATAATTTTCCGTAAAACAGATAAAGTGATATAAAATTAATAATTAAAACAATATGTTGTGTTATATTCGTAGAATGTGCTAGAATACGTGAACAGAAATTTTGAAAATTGATAAAATTAGGGAATGAATAAATTTGAAACGATTACAAAATGAATCAAAGGGGAATTTTTGAGTTTACAAAGTTAAACATTAAATAGTACTTGGAAATTTAATATTATCTTCAGTTGAAGTACAGTTATTCCGGAAAAATGTAGTCTTTCTGATAATTAAACATACGAACTGTAGCTTTTTTGCAATTGTATTCAACAGTTTTGATCTTAAATGTTTTCGGTATTTTCTGCTACAGACTAGTTTTATTGAATCAGAACAATTTTTCACTTTTTTCTGATCTAATTTTAACTCATCTATTATATTTTTGATTAACATTTTCATTGAATAAAAAAGTATATTTTGACTTTTTTTTGTATTTTTTATCAGTTGGAAAAATTTAAGTCAGAAGACTTTCAAGATATTTTACAAAAATGGTGCCAAGCAGCCAAGAAGGAAACGTATTTATTATTATTATTATTATTATTATTATTATTATTATTATCAAAGTAGCAAACAAAAAATAAACTTTTTCAAATAAAAATTTTGCTTTCAATCATTAATAATTATGCATCATTATGCGAAATAACAACGCCAACTGTTTTATTACGGCAAGGAAGCTTAATTTGTGTTTAAAAAACAACAGATAAGAATTAGCAATGAAAAACAGCTTTCTATGAACATTTTATGAAAATTAGCAAAGAAGGAGTAATGAAAATAAAGTAATAATTATGTCACGGGCAATATCACTATTACTGATTTTACTGTCTCAGTTAAAGTTAATAATAATAATAACTATCGCTAAGTTTTAATGGACTCTAATTATCTTGGCAGTTTCAAATAAAAAATACGTGAAAATAAGTCTACAAGGTAAAGTTTAAACAGTAAATAATATTGCATTGCTGTTTGCAGATATTTGCATGATTTTTCTCTAAGCCATTGCCATTTTCTGCTTAGAACTTAAATAATTTGTTTTGTATAATTCTTTATTGCTGTCAAAGTATGAAAATGAAACCATATAAAGCAAGAATGAATGGTATTTCGTTATGTGAATTTAAAGCTATTTTAATATCAAAATAATAAAAAATTAATAATACATAACTGCTTTCAGGTATCAGAAGTATCTTTACGACTATGAATGTGAGAAGGAAGGTCTTAGTACGGCAACCGACTTACAGCAAGCAATTGATGGTAATAGACGTGAAGGAAGGCGAAACACGTCCTCAGGATCAACGAACTATGCGCAAGTTGGTTATTCAGTTGCTGCAACCGCTGCTGCAGCGGCAGCACATCACAACTCAACCGCTTTGCTCAACAAACATTTAAATGGTACTCTTAGCCTCAGAAATGGTACTACTTCAATTGTTTTCTAGCTTCATTCAAGTAGTACTATCCCTTAAAAGTAAATGTGAAACGTTTGCTTTGCATAACAGATAGAAGTTCAAAGCAATATTAATAAAGTTAGAAGTTCAAAGCAATATTAATAAAGTTAAAATTAATAAAGGTAATTGCAGTGTTCAAAATTGTAACAACGACTTAAGGAAGTGAGTTTCAGGTCTAGATGATGATGCGGGTTTGGGCCCTGCTTCGCAGCAAGCAGCACTTGTGGCTGCTGCTGCTTACCGAGCTGAACAGTTAGCCGTTCTTGAAGCTCAACAACGACAATTTGAACGAGCTCGCAGGTTTTTTATCTTGAATTGCTATAATAGGTTAATTTAACTCAAAGATATGGAAAAAAATTATCAGAACATTTTAGAAATTAGCGAAAAAATTTAACATTTTAAAACAATTTCTGATAAATTACAGAATTCAAAAATTTTTTGTCCTGATTCAATTGAACAAACATCTTAAAGAAAAGATTTACAATGTTGTGCAGTTTCAGAATTCAAAATTTTGATTTGAAAGAATTCATAACAGAATATACTTTTTTGGAATTTTTCAAAATTCAATTTAAATAATTTTCACAAATTACAGAGCAGCAGTGGAAGCAGTGACCCGGCATTCTGCACATGCGAATACTAACAGTGCCTTAGATAATACCGGTAATAATAGCAGTAACAGTAGTGCTGGTGGGGCTGGTGGTATGAATCACCATCACTCGCATGTCTCGGGAAGAGAATCTACGTCATCTGCGGATTCCGATGGTGCTACACCAGCAAAACGAGCTCGTGCTGCTTCTTTAAATTCCGGTGTCGCAAGTACTGCAAACGCCGCAGCAGCAGCCGCAGCCGCAGCTGCTGTTGCTGCTGCTGCATTGAATAATGAAAATGGTCTCAGCAATAATCTACTAGCTAATTTGGCTACAGAACGCTTACTTGGTAGCATTCCATCTGCACATTTAAAGATTACTAATAGAGGAGGTATACTAATTTCCTATACAAATTAACTCGTATAAAATTAATCAAAAACTATATCAAAAATAAAACTAACAAAGCTTATTAAATGTTACTAAACAAAAATTATTTAGTCTAATAATTGTTATCTTATATAGTAATCTTTTGCTGTCCTTGTGCATTATCTTTCCCTGCATTTTTTGCTTGAAAACTATAGTTTTTAATTAAATGGTAAAAAATTTTTTGATAGAAAAAACTGAAATTTTATCTTATTACTGTATATTGAAATAAATTTTCAATTATTTGCATGTAAAATATCGTACAATGAGATTAATATGCATTTTTATAGTCATGTGTGACAGGTTATAAATATTGTGAAACCTACTAAATAATGGTTAAACAAGCAAGAGTATAGCATAGAACTAACTAGACAGTGATATTCATTTTATTATACTAGCAGTTTCTGCATTTATTTTCAGAAAACTCATTGGTAGTATCGATGGAAATTAATGGTACCATGTATCAGGGGGTATTATTTGCACTGGGAGCTGCAGCTACAGCTGCCAGCACGCCGCAGAATCTGTTCCAGAATGTAAGCGATGCTGCCGCGATGGCTACTGGGTTGAATTTGGCTACAACGCTCAACAATCCCTTATAGTTCATACTTTTTAGCAAATTTTTGATTTTTGCGCTTTGTGTGTAAATACTTAACAATAATTTTTTATTTTACAAAAATTGAATTCACCGTTAGAGAATTAAAACAGATTTTCTCATTGAAACCGTTAAATTTCAAAAAATCATTAAAATGTGAAATGGAAAAGCATCGAAGACTTTTTCATATTTGATTTTAATTTGTTGGCCATTAAAATTTGCATTAAGAAAAAGCGTATTAAGATCTGTTTTCTTATTTACACATATTGTCATTAGTGCTTCTGCAGTTAATAAGCTCAAAAACCTAATATAGAAAAGTTGGAAATAACTCGCAGTTATTATAATTTTTGTTTGTGTTCAATCAGTGGCTCAGCATAGTTTCATTCTGTTCATTGCAATAAACTTTTATTTTTGTGGGAATAATTTTGAATTTAATATATATTTTTACAAACTTATTTTTGTTCAAAATTTTTTTTTCCAGTATCGCAGTGTGAACAGTACGAGCTTAAACATAGATAATAGATTTCAAAAATATTAATGTGCAAAAATGACAACCAAAATTTTATGCTGTTGGATGCATTTTGATTACTTATGAGTTAGTTGTCATTGTACTGTATGATTTTATGATGCATTTTTTCTACTGGTTAGCTTTGGTTATGTTAGTAATATTATAACTTTATAATTACTGTGTAATGTGTGTGAAATTCATTGTTAATTGCATTTTGTGCTTTTTGAAAAATAAACGTTTGTTTCTTTTTTTAATTCTAATTTGGGATTTGAGATGTAAATTTTTTTTAGATTGAATTAATTAATGGAAAAAATGCGTTGTGATAAAAATTTGTGCTATAAAAAGACTGTGGTCATGCTAGATCAAATTTTATCATAAAAATTATTGATAAAATTGATGTATTTTTAGACTGAAATTTTTTATTCATAACACTTCGTGGCGCCTAAACTTACAATGTAATTTATTTCTTATTAAATTACAATGTAATTCATTTCTTATTAAATAAATTTACAATAAATTACATTGTAATCACTGATGGTTATTAGATATCAATATTGATTATTCCTTGATCAAATACTGTATCGCATGGAACTGGATTCAGAATCTGTTTTGCAGCAGCTGGAGGCAAGTCAATGGTAGATTTATATTTTTTATCTGAATCTTTGGTTGAGATTAAAGTCTTTTTCTTCGTCCAATTTATGACATACATCGTGAAGGCACTGTATTTACCTAAATATAATAATAATGACCAGAAATATTTCAACGAATGTTTTGAATATTTATTACATAAAATTTGATATTGTAGAAAATAATTGTTTGAAATTTAGCTTTTTAATTAATTACATTTTTACTATTTCATTAATTAGCTTGTCATATTATGCACTTCTCATAAATTAATTACATTACAAGCTATAAAACTGATACTTTAAGATTAATTACATTTTTACGAGTAAAAAATTATTGGCTTACCTAAAACCGTACGCATAAGTGCTAGTTGTTGGTCAGGGAAGCAAAGTATTTTATCAATGTTTGGCGATATTATCTCTTTTTCAATGGCAATGGATGTATTGATAAAATTTGCTATATCATCCATATTCATCTCAATTCAAGTATTTTAATTCCTTTTTTCTGTTCAAATTAACAATTGAAAAATTGCATTAATAAATCGAATTTGCAGATTTTAATCAAAATCAGATTTGAAGCAATTGAATTGTGAAAAATACCGATTTTTCAGTGCACAAAGTGAGAGCTTACTTTTTTAAGTGGCGACATAAATTTAACAATACCGGGCAATGAGTTAGCATGTGTTGGTCGTATAAGTACATGAATTTGAGGTGTTTTTAGTTTATAAGCCTGTCTCCATTCAGTAATAAAAACTACCTGTAAGATCACCATTGTTCAAAAACACATTGCAATATTTTGCTGATAGATATTGTAATCATTAATTTAATCCTAGATTTATTATTTGTATGACAATAACTTAGTTCATAATGAATGAAGAATCAAATATGATACCTCATTTGATGTCAAATTTTTAAGTCCTTCAAATTTTTGGCTTTGATTATTAGTAAGTAAAACCACAATTACAGGTGAACTTGAGCTGATGCTTGCATTATAAATTGATTTGTTGGTCACTCTTATAAACTGCAAATTCTTTTCAATACAAAACTTTTTTCAATAAATAGCATTTTTCATTTGTTTATTTCGGCGATATCTTTTTAGAATACGAAATTTTAATAATAAATAAGTTTTTGGTTAGTCACACATATAATAAATAGTATTACATTCAGTTTCAAACTAAGTTTTCTTAGCCATATTTTTCTAGCAAATTGTCATATCTTTCGAACTTTCATTCTACATAAAAACTTTTGAATTATAGTCACAGCACAATACAATCTGAAAGATTTGCTCATGTACGTAGTATGTATTTGATCTTTTCAGAGGAAATCTGATTTGAGTCTTTTTTCAAATGATGGTTGAATTTGAAACATTTCAAATGAATTAAAGCTTTTTAGAAAACAAACTTACTTCAAGAAGAGTTCCAGAACTCGTTTCATGGATAATAAAATTGAAGATTGGATATGATAAAGATAATGCTAATAGTCCATACCAAATAAAACATTGAAAATAAGACATTTTTGACAGTATTTTCAAGTATTTATTTAACTAAAATAATGAATCATTTACCTAACTAAAATAATGAAAATGATTTTTCGCTATTGTAGTCCACATAACAATAGTATGTAGCTTAATATCTAAATTCTTTTAATAAAGATGTCAACAAAACAGCTACAAAATTATAGGCAAATATCAAGAAACTATATATTGTTCATAATTTTTTTACAAAAACAAATATTTTGAAAAAAACTGAAAGTGTTGAAAAACGTTATTTGAACAAGTTTCTTCATTCAATAAATTTCATATTTGTCATTGAATATCACAAGTATATTTTTGCTTTCAGAAAAGATAAATAATAAATGGTATTTAAATAAGTTATTCGGCGAAATAGTGTAGCATAAGAAAGTTAATAGGAAAAATTTGCTGATATTATTTCTTTATATTCTTTTTTATATTCTCATGAAAGCTCTTATAAAATTACCCGAAAATGCGTGCGAAAATTTTCGTATTAATGCCGCAGGTCAGTGTCAAATGTTTTTGCAGTAATCATTTTTCAATTTGATTTATAACCTTCAAAATATAAACAAATCACAATTTGATATTGTTAAAATTTCATTTCTGCATAAAAAGTATGCAGAAATTATTCATGAAGTATGCATTAATAAACTCTTGCTGATGACAGGAATAAGTAAAGTAATAAAAAAAGTTTTTCAGTATTTGCAAAGTACTCATAATGATTTGTGACTTTATTCCAACAATTTTTAGCATAAATTCAAAATTCGACTAAATGCCCAAAAAGGAATTAAAATAAAATGCACCAAAATATGATGTGCGAACTTGAAAGTTATTTAATTTAGATCTTTCACTATAAAAAGTATCTAAAAGAATATTAATTGGGTCTAATAGTTTAAATGCATCACAATTTATTGCATTTTACTTTAAATTAATTCATATACTACGCATTAAATATAATTATCAATTTAAAACTTAATAGAAAATAAAAAATACGACTTCACTGGCGACATGAAAAACTATTATCATTTAATTTAACTGTAAACTATAAATTAATTTAAAGGCGATCTGAAATTGACTACTTGTTTTATCTTTCGGCATGTCTTGAAATTATTGCATTTTTTGGGTAGTTTATCGTTAAAAGCTCAGAAGGCACCTGTTACGTTGCGTGTGCTTTATTTGTGTGTAGCTAATATATCAAAAATTAAATATATTTGAAATTAATTTCAAACCTATTTTTGTCAATCGATTTTTCTAGTTATAAGATCTATAAAACTATAAAGCTTTCTGAAATTTAAGAATAAAATATTAGAAATAAAAACATTTTGCGAATAACATGACATTCAAACAACAAATTTGCCTCGAATTTATTATATATTTTTTCTGTATCAAAAAGATAACTTCAAAACACAATCAAATTTAATATAATGTAATAGCCAAAGTCCAAATATTATTGTTTTTATTGTCTAACAAAAGAATTTACTATCAAAAACTTTGTACAAGCAGTTAACAAGATTACATTTGTCATTTTAACACTATTATAATCAACAAAGTACCATAATTGTCATCACTATAATAATCAATTATTTGACCGAGAAAACTTTCATAGAACAAATAATTTTTGCATTTAAATATAGCAAAACTCCATTAGAATATTTCTCCCTGCCTGTACAATTCAAAATTGATAAAATATTTCGGGCATTCACATGGCATGACAGGCTAATGTTCGAGTAAATTAATTACCAGAATAAATTGGAAAGAATACATCTCGTTTATATATCAAATTATGCAACTTGTTGTTGATAGTTTGAATTTTCCAACTTGTTTTTATGATGAAAAATTGGAGAGTAGATGAACATATTTACGAACAAGTATTTTTTTTTCACGCTGACCAATTCAAACAAAAGTGTCAAGTTTTTGTGCAAAAAAGGAAGTTGACGCCTAGGTAACCTTTTTTGAGAATATTAGAAATCCGGTCTTCAAATTCTAATATTAATCAATTATTATGTTCGAAAATACATATTAATTTCGATACTGAAACGAAATTTAAATAGATTTATTTTAACATCTTAAAAACTTGAATGGCTCTTAATTTGTTGACATCTCTTATCGAACCAGTCAGTACACCAAATCTAAAGCAGGTTTCAAGGAATTTTTTGGAAAAATGAGTTAGAGTTCATTTTTCTCTTTCACATTCATTCATCAAACTGTCCTCATTTGTAATTATTATCACAAAAATTTCCTTGTAGACAATAAATAAAAGAGTGTTTAGATGCAAGAAAAAAATTAATGATAAAATTTCGACAAAATTTCAATTTTTCACTGAAAGCTTCTAAAATATCTCAAAATCTCAACAAGCAATGTGTTTTTATCATTCCACTTGTGACTTTTCAGCATGTAATCGTTGTTTTCTTCACGCAGAAAAAACTGCTAACCGTTTATTAATTCACACAAAATGAAATGGTAAAAGTTCTCAGTGACATTAATTAAAATTAAAAAAAATTGCGAAGACGCAAAGTTTTTAAAAATAATTATTTTTGACTTTACTTTACGCAAAATGGATAAGTTTTTGAGTACGCTTAAAATATTTAAACAATTGTATTTCTGCCTCTGAATTTCCTCTTCAGCGCTTTCAAATTTGAGAATAAAGTAATGAATATGTTAAAAAATTGTGAAGTAAATGATCTCGCAAACATTAATTGTGACCTGATTATTTTGTATTTGTTATATGTAAGCAAACTTCTGACAATTAAAAAAAATCTGATTACAAAAGTTCAGATTACTGAAGCCATTATTGGCATGTCTGAAAGAGTCGAAATGTGTGAATTTGAAAGATATGCAACTATTTGAAGGGAAGAAAACGGTGGATTGAACACTAACAAAAGCATTTTTCTTAATATTTTTGCATTCGTTTATTAATACACAACTGATAAATAATATAAAAAATTCAGTGAAAGAAAAAACTTCAAACAATTTGCACGAATTTAATTCATAACTTAATATAATTCATTCATAATTAATGCTAAATGTCGAAGAATCTGGACATTAACAATGCTTCCAGTGTGTGATGTGACATGAAAATTTGAAACGTCCATTTAAAAGTTTTCCTTCTACATTCGTAAAAAATATCAAATCTGTTTCACTTCGTTCTCAGTTCCCAATAATCCTTCAAATAGATGAGTCAGTAAACTGATGTTTGACTCATCGAATTATTTTTAAATCAGATC